AAGCTCTCCCAGTTACTCCAGAGTGGGTTTGTACCCACAGCACAACTGTGGGTTATCCTCTATGGGTTATACAAAAATAATCAACACATTCTGCACCACGGCCTCAAAAGTGCTTCCCAATATTCATCCAAATTTCCCCTCTCCATTTAAATCCATTCCCCTTGTGCTGTCACTTGTCCCATGTAGGAATGTGCTCTCTGCTGATGGAGTGACAAAACTATCTTTTTTTGTCTCTTTAAAAAGGAAAAAATCCAGAAGTTTCTCTCTTCAATTAGGGAAAAAGTCCTCATGGGACTTGGATTCAAGGATGGCTAATTGGACAGAAGCAGAAAAATCCTGCCTAAGCAATTCACTAGAAAAAGAAGTGAACAAATAAATTAATTGATTTTGTGAGGTGTTTTACCAGGAGCAAGGACCTCTTGCATTTGACTTGGTTTTTCTCTGTAAAGAAGAGAATTTTGACTTTTATTAAAACTTGGTTTTTTGCCTTTTATTAAAACTTGGTATTTTGCCTTTTATTAAAACTTGTTATTTTGCCCTTTAATAAAACTTTTCTGTTTCCACCACTACCACAGAAGCCATCCTGGTAATTTTATGCCTTCTGAGGTAGCTGAGCTATCTTGGTGTGATATAAATCTCCAAAAGCTTCTAAGACCTGGCTCAAGGAGATCGTTTATCAACCCCAAGACCCTTTAATTTTGCTGCAGCTCTGACTGCAGGACCCCCTCAGCACAGCCCAGCCCAAAATTCCAGACTGGCACCTCCCAGAGGCACAGGTTTGTACCCACAGCACAACCATCCTCTATGGGTTATACAAAAATAATCAACACATGCTGCACCACGGCCTCAAAAGTGCTTCCAAATTTCCCCTCTCCATTTAAATCCATTCCCCTTGTGCTGTCACTTGTCCCGTGTAGGAATGTGCTCTCTGCTGATGGAGTGACAAAACCATTTTTGTCTCTTTAAAAACAAAAAAATCCAGAAGTTTCTCTCTTCAATTAGCACCGCTCAGCTCCCACCTCCTTGTTCTGCTGCGTCTGCTGCCAGCGCCAGCGGCGCCTCAGCGCCTCCCGCTCCGCTCCCTTGTCCATCAGCGTGTGCAGGGACTTCCTCAGCATCAGGTCCCGGTCGTGGAAGCCCCACATTCCTGCGGGGAGAAGGAGCAGGAGGGTCAGGAGGAGCTGCTGGGACTCCCTGNACGGGAACCCTCCTGGTGCCAGGGATGGGATTTTCCCTGCCAGCACAAATGTCCCCTCATTTCTGCATTTACAGACCCCTGGATGTCCCCTCATTCCCTGAATTACAAATTCCTGGATGTCCCCTCATTTCTGCATTTACAGACCCTGGATGTTCCCTCATTCCCTCATTTACAAATTCCTGGATGTCCCCTCATTCCCTCATTTACAGACCCCTGGATTTTCCCCTCATTCCCCCATTTACAGACCCCTGGATGTCCCCTCATTCCCTGAATTACAAATTCCCTGGATGTCCCCTCATTCCCAAATACCCTGGATGTTCCCTCATTCCCTCATTTACAATTCCCTGGATGTCCCCTCATTCCC